CCTGCGCCGCCGACCAGCCCGCGTCGGCCGCCGCGATGGCCTCCGCCGTGTCGGGCTCCTCCAGCGCATCGTCGCACTCGTTGAGCAAGCCGAGAGCGCCGCGGCCGGTCAGGCTGACGAGCAGCGTGATGCCGAGCGCGTAGCCGTCAGTCAGCACGCTGGCCTGGCCATCCTGCGTGATGATCGGGTCCATGTACCCAGGCTTGCCAAAGATCCGCTGCGTCGACAGGTGCGAGACCTGCTGGCTGCTGCCGGCCGTCGCCTCTGCCGCTCGCGCGAGGCCAACGTCGGCGAGGTAGCCGTTGCCGCGCTCGTCGAGCAGGATGTTGCCCGCCGAGACGTCGCGGTGCAGAATCATGGGCGAGAGCGTGTGCAGGTAGTGCAGCGCTCTCGCCGCGTCGCGCAGCACGCGGAGCCGTGCGGCGGAGGAGAGCGGCGGAGGCGGCGTCTCGAAACCGAGCATGCGGAGCCGCTGCAGCGCGGCTGGAGCGCGGTAGAGGCGGTCCTCGAGGCTGCCGCCGCGGCAGAGGGGGTAGACGAGGCACGCTCTCGCCGGCGCCAAGCAGACGCCGAGGAGAGGAAGCAAGGAAGGGTGGGACGCCTCGCTAAGCGTGCGCACCTCGCTCTGCAGCTCGGCGAGGCCTTGGGCGCCGACACCGACCAGCGCCGTCTTGACGGCGAACCCGCAAGCGACGCGCGGCAGCGACGGCAGCGCGTCGCAGCGGTAGACGCGCCCGAAGCCTCCCTCGCCCACCTTGCGCGCCTCGGCAAAGCCCTCGGTCGCCGCGGTGAGCTCGTCGAGAGGGACGGCGGCGGGCGGCGCGGCGGCGGCGGCGAGGGCGGCGACGCTCGACGCCTCCGCTGCTGCCTCCGCCGCCGCCGCTGCCTCCGCTGCCTCCTCCGCTGCCGCTGCCTCTTGAGCCTCCGCCGCCGCCACGGCCGCCACTGCCGCCTCTACAGCCGCCGCCTCCGCTGCCGCCCTCATCCTCGCTTCTTCCCTCTCCCTTGCCGCCTCCTCCCTCGCTCTCGCCTCTGCCTCCTCCCTTGCCCGCGCCGCCGCATCCGCCTCCTCCGATGCCCGCGCCGCCCGCGCCGCCGCAGCTGCCTCAGCCGCCTGCGCCTCGTCCGCCGCCCGCGCCTCGTCCGCCGCCCGTGCCTCGTCCGCCGCCCGCGCCTCGTCCGCCACCCGCGCCTCCTCCTCCTCCGCTGCCCGCTCAGCCGCCGCCGCCTGCCTCGCCGCCGCCTTCTCCTCCTTCTGCCGCTGCCGCTTCAGCGCCCTGGCCTCGCGGATCTTTCGCTCCGCCAGCTCGTCGCGCAGCCGCCGCGCCGCCCGCAACGCCTCCGAGCCGTCGGCGGCCTGGGTGTTCGCGTTGATCGCCGCCCTGAGCGCCTCGAGATCGGCGTCGCCTCGGCCGCACGCCTCAACCGCCTCGCGCAGCGCCGCTTCGGCAGCATCGCGCGCCTCTGCCGCCGCCGCAGCCGCCGCCGCCTCGCGTGCGGCCGCCGCCTGCTCGGCTGATTCTGCGACCGCCGTCTCCCCCTCAGCCTCTGCTGCGGTCGACGAGTGCTCCTCGAGGGCGCGCACGCACTCGGCGTGACCTTTCTCCTTGGCCCACTGCAGCGCCGTCTTGTCGTCAACAGTGCGCGCCGCAGCATCTGCGCCCGCCCGCAGCAAGCGCCGCACGACGGCGGGGCGGTTGATGTGGGCGGCGAACATCAGCGCGGTGAGGCCGCCGATGTCCTGCAAGTTGACCTCAGCGCCGCGCCGTATCAGCAGCTCGACCACCCGCTCATGGCCGAAGAAGGCGGCGAGCATCAGCGCGGTGTAGCCGAGGCTGTCCTGCAGGTTGATCTCTGCCCCGCCCCGCAGCAACATCTCGACCAACCGCTCGTGGCCGTAGTTGGCGGCGCCCATCAGCAGCGTGAGGCCACTCGCCTCGCCTCTCTCGTACGTCGCGTTGACCCGCCCGCCACTGTCGAGCCACGCCAGCACCGCCTCCTCCTCGCCACGCTCCGCCGCCACGATGACCGCATCGGGGGCTGCCGCGGCACCGCTCGACGCCCGCTCCGCCGCCGCCGGCGACAGATTACCCGGCCGCACCCGCACACTCTCGCCGCCGCGCTCGAGCGCCACAGTGTACCGCCCGCCCTCGAAGCTCCGCGCCTCGCCCCGCTGCCCGTTCAGCTCGGGGCGGGAAGAGAGGCCGCCGAGGACGACTCGCTGGCCGAGCAGCGGCGCGTCCACCGCTGCCACTGCCGCGCCCGAGCGAGCGCCGGCCCCTGCTCGGCGCTCCGCCGCCGCCACCGCCTCCGACAAGACCTTGACGCACTCGGCGTGGCCCTTCTCCTTGGCCCACTGAAGCGCCGTCTTGCCGCTCGCACTGCGCGCCGTCGCATCTGCGCCCGCCCGTAGCAAGCGGGACACGACGGCGTGGTGGCCGAAAAAGGCGGCCATCATCAGCGCGGTGACGCCGTTGCTGTCCTGCAGGTTGACCTCAGCGCCGCGCCGTATCAGCAGCTCGACCACCCGCTCATGGCCGAAGAAGGCGGCGAGCAGCAGCGCGGTGCCGCCGTTGCTGTCCTGCAGGTTGATCTCAGCGCCGTGCTGCAGCAGCAGCTCGACCACCCGCTCGTGGCCTCCGCGGGCGGCGAACATCAGCAGCGTGAGGCCACTCGCCTCGCCTCTCTTGTACGTCGCGTCGGCCCGCCCGCCGCCCTCGAGCCACGCCAGCACCGCCTCCTCCTCGCCTCGCTCAGCTGCTGCCACGACCTCGTCGGAGACTGCCGCGGCACCGCCTGACACCTGCTCCGCCGCTGCAGCCGGCGACAGATTGTCCGGCCGCACCCGCACGCTCTCGCCGCCGCCCTCGAGCACCACAGCATACCGCCCGCCCTCGAAGCTCTGCGCCACGCCCCGCCTCCCGTTTAGCTCGGGGCGGGCCGAGAGCCCGCCGAGCATGACTCGCTGGCCGAGCAGCGGTGCGTCCACAGCTGCCGCTACCGCGCCCGAGGAAGCGCCGCCCGCCCCTGCCCGGCCGTCTGCAGCCGCCGCCGCCTCAGCTAAGACCTTGACGCACTCGGCGTGGCCCTTCTGCTTGGCCAGCTGCAGCGCCGTCTTGCCATTCTCAGCGAGCGCTGCCGAGTCTGCGCCCGCCCGCAGCAAGCGCTGCACGACGGCGGGGTGGTTCAAGAGGGCGGCGTGCATCAACGCGGTGCCGCCGACGTTGTCCTGGAGGTTGATCTCCGCGCCGTGCCGCAGCAGCAACTCGACCACCCGCTCGTGGCCGTTGCTGGCGGCACCCATCAGCAGCGTGAGGCCGCTCACGCCTCGTCTCTCGTACGTCGCGTTGACCCGCCCGCCACTGTCGAGCCACGCCAGCACCGCCTCCTCCTCGCCTCGCCCAGCCGCTGCCACGATCGCATCGGGGGCTGCCATGACACCGCTCGACGCCCGCCCCGCCGCCACCGCTGGAGATAGCGTCATCGCGACTCTCGATCCAGCCGGGGAAGCGCCGCCGGAGGAAGCGCCGCCTGCGCCTTCGCCGCCGGCTGCCGTCGCCGTGGGCCGTCCCGCCACCACCTCCTGGACGTGCTTCTTGAAGGCCTTGACGCACTCGGCGTGGCCCTCCTCCTTGGCCAGCTGCAGCGCCGTCTTGCCGCTCGCACTGCGCGCCGCCGTGTCTGCGCCCGCCCGCAGCAAGCGCCGCACGACGGCGGGGCGGTTGAAGACGGCGGCGACCATCAGCGCGTTGCCGCCGTTGCCACTCTGCAGGTTGATCTCAGCGCCGTGCCGCAGCAACAGCTCGACCACCCGCTCGTGGCCTTGGCAGGCGGCGAGCATCAGCGCGGTGCGGCCGAGGCTGTCCTGCAGGTTGATCTCTGCCCCGCCCCGCAGCAACATCTCGACCAACCGCTCGTGGCCGTAGTTGGCGGCGCCCATCAGCAGCGTGAGGCCACTCGCCTCGCCTCTCTCGTACGTCGCGTCGGCCCGCCCGCCGCCCTCGAGCCACGCCAGCACCGCCTCCTCCTCGCCTCGCTCAGCCGCTGCGATGACCGCATCGGAGACTGCCGCGGCACTGCTCGACGCCCGCCCCGCCGCCGCCGGCGACAGATTACCCGGCCGCACCCGCACGCTCTCGCCGCCGCCCTCGAGCGCCACCGCGTACCGCCCGCCCTCGAAGCTCCGCGCCTCGCCCCGCTGCCCGTTTAGCTCGGGGCGGGACGAGAGTCCGCCGAGCACGACGCGCTGGCCGAGCAGCGGCGCGTCCACCGCTGCCGCTGTCGCGCCCGAGGAAACGCCGGCCGCCCCTGCCCGGCCATCTGCAGCCGCCGCCGCCTCAGCCAAGGCCTCGACACACTCGGCGTGGCCATTCTCCTTGGCCCACTGCAGCGCCGTCATGTCGTACGCATTGCGCGCCGCCGTGTCTGCGCCCGCCCGCAGCAAGCGCCGCACGACGGCGGGGTGGTTGAAGAGGGTGGCGGCTATCAGCGCGGTGCTACCGCCGCTGCTCTCCAGGTTGACCTTCGCGCCGCGCCATGTCAGCAGCTCGACCACCCGCTCGTGGCCGCTGCGGGCGGCGTACATCAGCGCGGTGTAGCCGACGCTGTCCTGCATATTGACCTCCGCCCCGTGCCGCAGCAGCAACTCGACCACCCGCTCCTGGCTGTGCACGGCGGCGCCCATCAGCAGCGTGAGGCCGCTCACGCCGGCTCTCTCGTACGTCGCGTCGACCCGCCCGCCGCCCTCGAGCCACGCCAGCACCGCCGCCTCCTCGCCTCGCTCAGCCGCTAGCACGGCCGCGTCGGAGCAGCTCAGATTTCCGCGTGCTCCCGCCATCACGTGCTTCACGATCGTTGGGTTCCGGCTCTTTGAGTGGTAGGGCGGCTAGCATGAATAGCCCGTCCCGCGGACACAGCGAGAGTTGGACACAGAGCCTCGCCCTCATGTGTGTGGAGACAGCAGCCTCGGTTTACCTGATCTTTCCTTAACCCAAGGTCCATCAAGGCGCCGCGCCCTCCTCCCCCTCCGCCAGGCGCAGCGCCGCGTCGAGCCAGCCCACCGCGGCATGCAAGCAGCCGGCCTGCGCGCTGCAGTACCGCCTCGCCAGCTCGCGGGCAGGTTGCCGCCCGCCCGCCGCGCCCTCCGCCGCTGCGCCCTCCGCCGCCGCCGCCGATTCCCCTCCCGCCAGCGCCCGCATCCTGCCCAGCTCTGCCGCCGCGAGCGCGCGCAGCGTGCGCAGGGCGCGCGCCTCTGCGGCGGCGGAGGGCGGCTCGCCCTCCAGAATCAGGAGCGCGCCGCCGCCCTCCACCTCCGCCTCGCTCGCCTCGCGCAGCCGCGCAGCCGCGAGCAGCGACCAGGAGGGCCCGTCGGCCGTGAGGTAGTGCTCCGAGATGAGCTGATGCTCTGCCAGCCACCTCCTCCGCCTCTCGGGCATCTCGCCGAGAGGCAGCGCCAGCGGCGCGCGCCGGTGCGGGTTCGAGGGAGGCACGAAGCCGTAGCAGGCGAGGAGGACAGCGTCGTCGTGGCAGCCGTAGGACACAACCACCTCCTCGCCCGCGCCGAGGGCTGCCCCAGCATAGTAGACGTACTCGCCTGCGGCCGCGTCGTAGCCGGCATGCGACGGCGCTGCAGAGGGCGAGTGGTTGAAAAAGTCGCCGAACGGAACGATCGCGAAGCCCGCACCACCGCCATCGCTCTCGCCGCCATCGCTCTCGCCGCCATCGCTCTCGCCGCCATCGCTCTCGCCGCCATCGCTCTCGCCGCCGCCGCCCTCGCCGCCGCCGCCGCCGCCGCCGCCGCCTCCGCCTCCTCCTCCTCCTCCTCCTCCGCCACCGCCTCCTCCCTCTTCGAGGTGGGCCGCGCGGCTCGCGCACGTCGCTGCCGCCCAGAGGTACTCTTTCCACGTGAGGCCTGGAAGGACGGAGCGATCGACGCGGCCGAACGCCTGCTCGAGCTCTGCCCGTTCGGCGCGGAGGGAGGCCTCGAGCGCGTCGCCGAGTGAGGCGAGGAGGCCCTCCTCCCACTCCATCGGCAGCCCGTGTGCCGGCGGCAGCAGCCGCAGCCAGCTCGACCAGCGGGTCCTCGCCGCAAGGTAGGCGAGGCTCTCGTCGCCGACCGGCTGCAGAGTGATCATCGCGCTGCGCCGCCGCTCGAGGAGCAGCTGCACGCGGAGCTCCTCGTACGACGAGGACGCGAGGATCAGCGCGCGCGGCACCGCGAGGAGCTTGTCGCCCTCGGCGATCGGTGCTGTGGCAACGACGCTGCGCGAGCCCGAGGCGTTTGTGCGAATGCAAATGTCGCCGACGTGGCCACCGGCGTCGACAACCATGTTGCTGAGCAGGTCACTGATTGTGTCATCCGTCGGAGTGGCAGGCATCGTGTTTGCGACGTAGCCTACTGGCGCGACACGGCTCCGGCGTGGCGCGCTGGGCCTACGAGGTGGGGCCCACCTTTGGTCGGCTGAACGAGAAAGTGCGGTCCCCAGTTTTAGGTATGTTGTTGGCAAATCAAGACACAGAGCTCACACAGAATCACAGCGGGAGGAAAGCGGCGAGTCGCAATTCCAGGGGTCGTTGTGGCGGGCCACCCTGTCCAGAGAGGCATGGATGCCAATCTGGGGTCTCTCGACCGAGTCTGATTTCGCCTCGCCGCCTCCCGGTGGTGGCTGTAGAGCCAAAGCGGCGGAGATGGCGGGGGAGGGCGGGGGATCGAGGAAAGCACGACTCGCACCGACCCTTCACGAACCGAAAGGCTGCACCCGGGGAAGGCACAGTAATCCGGGCACGTGTTGGGCGCCCCGTTCCGTCTGGGGCTAGGTCGGCTCAGGGCCCCATCCACTTCCCTCCCGCTTGGCGCGTGATGATGAGGAGTTGCCACCCAGGCCAGCCAGGGCAGGGGCGGAGGGCGAGGGCGGAGGGTGGGATGGGCGCCAAGCGGGAGGGAGCGAACGGAGTGGAATGCACAGATGGGGGATGGTGAAGGCAGAGGGGCAGAAAGGGGGGAGGGCGGCGGTAGGTCGGAAGTTGGCATGGGTGGGCGGTGGGTGGTTCGGTAG